GTAAGGGTGAAGAGATTGAATGTTAAGGCCCTCTATTGAATGATACCTCAGGATTTGATGCTGTCTCCATTCCTGTGCAACACTTGCCTGAAGCTTCTAGACAAATTAATCAGTCAGTACAGAGTCACATATTGCCAGAGTGCTCTTGAACTCAAATCTAAGAGGTGATGCCATTAAGGTGCTGTCTGAATGGCTGAAGGCTCTCTCAATCTCAAGTCCTTCTGACTTAATGGAGAATAGACAGTTGCTTCTTCTGACACAGTCAGAGTCATCAGGCTGCTTCAAGTGGAGAATTGTAGATAACCCCATGCAATCCTGTGGTTGGATTCTGTGTAGAAATGGAGTTTGTTGCTGCGGTACCAATCTCCCTACTGCGGAGTAGCATCCCTAATTGAGCTGTTTGATGCTGTTGCCAGAACAAAAGAGTCTCCAAAACCTATTGTCCTTGGACACCATAATCTGTCTTTGTGTGATTCAGAATCTGGAGCAGCTCAGAGCAAATGGCCACCCTGGCAGGTATGGATTTGAGCCAGGATATATCAAGGGCCCAATACATATAGGTAATCAAAAGTTAAATCTTGTTTTTATCTTAAGGCAGTTATGAAGGTAAAGTCTGAAGATGAAAACTTTATTATCATCCTTTCTCATCGTCAAATCCCTCGCGAGTTGGCTTTTGGCTAGCTAGTACAATTTCTTGCACCCCCGGGATGTTGAAACTATGAAATCAATACATTATAGGTTTCTATTAGATTTGGATGGATTTCAGAGAGATTTTTTTTCACCTTGGGATCTACTATCATTTTGACTGAGGCAGGGGTGAGTTCCAGCTTCTGCTACTGCCAGTTCGCTCAGGGATGTGCAGTAGTAAAAAATGCTTCTGTGCATGTGCAGGAGCAAAAAACAAGATGGCAGCACCCATGGTGTCACCGATAAAACTGGTTTGGAGGCATGGCAGGCCAAGTTACTACTGAGTAACCTACTCAGCCAAACCAGTCAGAACCAGTAGGAACCCATCTTTGGACTGAGCCTTTAGTCTCCACCTGAATTAGGTATGTGCCGATGACCTGGATATCTCCCTCTTTGTCAGTCCCAACTATAACTTACATTTCTTATGAAAGAGCTAACAAACAACATTCTTAGATCATTCTCATGATTAATAGCGAAAATCAGCAATTAAAAGAAAGATACGGGCAAATAAGTACTGAATTTACCAGTGTTATCTACCTATAAGTAATGCTTCCACATTCATTTAGATAAGGTATTTTTGAATCTAATGTTTTAACTACAAGAAACCTCAATTAGAATGAAGAATATAAAAGAAACTTAACATAGATATTAAATTAGAGTGAAATAACAAAATCCACCCCATTACAGGGTGATGGCTAATGGCCAACTTACATTGAGCTAATGAGGACATTTCTATACCTCAAAAAGCTCATATAAATTAAGCAAAAACTTTGCTTTTTCTTCCCCCAGCGTTTTTCATGATATTTTTTAAAAAGTAGATTGACAAACATCCATGTTATTCTTGGCAGGAATAAGGAAGTAACTTGCCATTGACTTATCCTGGGAGACTGTTTCTGTTTCTCGGTCTAGCCTACAGCTCTGACATTCCTGAATCCAAAGACTGTCCAAGCCTGATTCGACTTAGCTCTAAGCTCAAATGTCAGCCAGATGTCACCATCTATTGAGAAGACAGATAATATCTTATTACTGCCAAAGGCCTGCTAGATAAAGTACTTTGCAATACTGTACTTTTGTAGAAAAACCATAAATCACCTATTACAAGGTCCTCCAACATCCTGAATAAACATAAATCACCAAAAGAAGCACATATAAGTACATGTACATGTGTATGCATGTTGGAAGGTGGGCTGTGATAGGAACTGATACAAACACACAGACACCAGTTAAACAGAGAAGGAGTTTATTCTTAACACTAAGATATTTATAAAAATGTAGTGGTGTGGGATAGCATAGTATATACTGTGTTTCCCCCAAAATAAGACAGGGTCTTATATTCTTTTGACCCCTGAAATAAGCTCTTGGCCTTGTTTTTAGGAAGGTCTTATTATTTTTGAGGTGCAGGAGGTGGTGAGTGTGGTCACCTCATGGCTGCTGCTGTGTTGCAATATTTTCAGGGAGGGCTTATTTTCAGGGAAGGTGTGTATGTGTGTATGTGTATGAAAATATAACTTGCAAGACCATTTGTGTATGTCAGTTTCAGTCTTTCAAATCTCTTTCCTTTCCTTTTGCTTGTGATGTATTTTGACTTCTTTTTCCCTCCTTATCTCAATGGTTGGTAATGAAATGAATGCCTGTGAGCTCTCTTGGCTATCTTGTAGCCAAACAAAGCCTTAACTCATTCAGTTCCAGTGTCCAATACCTGAAACTCCTTAAACATGACACAGTCCATTCTCCTGGTCTCGTCTCATGTTACGAACTGCCCCTGGTCTTCTTCCTTGTACCAGAGCCAGATTTTCTGGACTTGTAGGGTCCACTTATTTATCAGGAGACATACTCTCCAGTAATATCCTGTTCTGTAGTACTACCCCAGTTTTTCCTGCCTCTTTTTATATCCTATACCCAGGATATATATGTCCCACTGTACAGGTACCTTCAAGCACTTTTCCTTTGTTGCCTATGTGTTTGTGGTCTTGTGCTGACTCAGCAAATGTCCATTTTTTTTAAAAAAAAGTTCTTGACAAAGATTTAACCTCTTTCCTTCAGACAGATCAGGGTTAGGACAGTGGTGGGTTCTGGCTGGTCCACCCCGGTATGGGCATACTGGTGCCTGCTGGGAGCTGCAGGCACAGTTCCGGTACGGTGCTGCAGAGAGCCCACCTGCCTGCCCACTGTCCTTACCTCTATTTGAGATCACTGGGGCATTTGTGCACGTGCATGCAGCATACGGTGCCTACATGACACTCCGCTGAGCAGCTGGAGCGTCACAGGGCGGTAGTGCGCATGCATGCACAGCGCGTGTGCACATGGTGGACTCCCAGCCCAGTTGCAGAGTACTGGTTGCGACAGGAACCGGAACCCACCACTGGGTTAAGATGTACTAGATATCACATGATATATGACGGAGGCATTTTTATCTGACTGCAGTAAGCAAATCCTATTAAGAAGCATTTGGTATTATTGTCTCCCAGTTGATCCAAAGCTTTGGGGCTGTGAGGTATACATTTAAATTTTTGTCATGGCAAATTTTATCAAAATTTGGCCTTTGATTATATATAACCATCATAGCTAATTCAGTAAACTTGGCCACTCCTGGTTTCTCCTGTTTAAAATTGGGTGGTCATAAAACATTATTACAAATTATAGCTGCAACAATGTGTTCTCATGCCTTCATGTTCTCTCTTGGCCTAATGGGATTTTTCTAAGAATCACTAAGGTTTGGATATCCACTCTAAAATAATTTAAATTTTTGGAGCACTAGAGCTTCTTTCCAAGCAACTGTCCCTGCCCTAGAGAGAGTTTATCTTGTATCCATCTTTTCATTGCACAGTGTAACTTGTTTTCCAAGCTCCAAAATTGTAATGATCTTGGAATGATTATTTGTCCTCTTTGAAGTACACATCCTGCTTTCCACTGCTTTTTCCTGCTTTTTATTTCAGACTTGACTGTTTTTATAATCCTAAACAATGTTTGCTTTATTTCAACTGTATTGTGTCTGTATTTTATTCTTCTTTTATCTTGTGTTAATGGAAAGTACCTGAATATGATATGTGATTGATTTCCACTCCACTTGAATGTTCTTTCCTGGTAAGAATGTTCAAAACAGCGCATTTGCCATTCTTATTTCTTTTTCTAATTCAGAAGTTTCTGTAGACCTTTATATGTTGCAGTTTGACTGCTTTACCATGGATTCAAATGGTTTGTGGCATGTTTTTGCTATTCTGTAATAGATATATTGATGGAATATATCTATTCCATCTAGTCCTGATATGGAGTGTTTTTTTCCAGTGGGACCACTCTATCAGGGCAACCTGGTCGACCCAACTATGGGACAGAGCATACTGTTTCTGCTTTCGCCTTTCAGCCCTGATTCAGGAGCCCTGGCAGGCAGGCAGTCGCTTTCGTGACAAACTATTTTTGTGTTGAATTTATGTTTATCAGCAAAGAAATAAAGGGAGACCAGTATAGCTTGAAAGAGATCTACACTAGTCTCCCTTTATTTCTGTGTTGGTAAAAATAAATTCCACATTTCCTAATATGATTCATTGCAAAATTGTATATCCTTTTCCCATGAACTTCCTCAGTGATGCAGTTATTTTTGACAAATCTGGCTAAATAGTTAAACATTATCATTATCTGATCAGACTTTGGAGGGCTTATAGTTGCTCTATTGCAGATTTGTTTCCATGTATTTTCCTCCCTTCTTATGTGACTGAAGTAGTATCCAATCTGCATGTTCCTAAGTGACACTCTTAATTCCAGTCCTGTGTCATCTTTAACTTCCATTCTCAATGCATTTTTTCAGTGGTGCATCCTGACTGTTATCCTGTTCTTCTCAAGTGGAGCAATGGGCTGATACTACAGAGATAATAAGGACATCTCTATCATGTCATACTTCCAACATTTCATAGATTAGTTAAAAGAAAAAAAATCTGCCCTGATGAAATGACAAACAGCATTCTGCTCATTGCACAAAGTTTTAATATTTGATCCCCATGAAAATGGGGCAAGAAAACCTCACAAGCCTATTTTCTCTATCTTGCCAATAAAAAATGAATATGAATAAAATTAACATCTGGCCATCCTATCACAACATTCCTAATGTTGTTGAGTTGGCTTTCTAATTATGTCCAGTGGCAAAGCTACCTGTTATTCAATGTGAAATATAAATGCCAAGGGGAGCTACTGAGCTAAGTCACATGTTAGCTCTTGTATGACCAGCCAGGAAGCTGTGCTCCAGTACTGTAAATATTTCTATCAGCCCAAGTTTAAATGCTGTGCTTGATTTTTTTAATATAATCTTTCTTTATTTCCAGGTACTGTAATTGCCTTTTTACTCATAGTTCATCATCCCAATATAAAGTTAATAATTGCTTCCAGCTACACCACTTGCATTTAATCTAAGTTATCATGGGATGATGCTGAATATTAAAGGATTCTGAATATAAGCAAAACACTGGAATTTATAGCAAATATTATACACAAAGATATGCCGCGCTGGCTAGAATACATTACTACATAAATATGAGTGGTAATGCGAGACAGATCAAATTAAAAATTAAATTAAAAGTTTTTGAATGCAATACAAGTTATGCAATTGGAAAAAAAATCAAGTTTTAGTAGCCTTAAGGAATAAGTGAAAGTTCTCTGCAAACAGACATTCATTCAGAGAGTTTTAGGAATGTGTTTTCCTTGCTGTCTATAACAGTTCCTTGTTCTACATGTCCCTGTAGCTTAAGGAATTATATTTTAATTTTACAAATTGCAAAGCAAATACATTAGGAGAATAACTGATGCTTGTTTTGAACATTATTTTTTATGAATAGCCATAATTTTTTGCCTTTATTTAAAGGGCACAAGTGTAATATACATTTTTTATTATTTTTCAAAGCAAAAACTATATTAAAAAGATATACAAGATTGACAATGGTCAATCTAGCATGTAATGAATAATAATTTGTCTATGGATATAATCACTGAAAAAAAATAGAACTATTTATGAGGCCTGTTTTGGGTTTGTTTTTGCATATTTAGGTATACTTTCAAATTAGTCTTCACTCATGGTCATTTAGTGAGATGTTCCAAAATGATTTGTCTTTGCTTTCTTCCGTGTTGAGGGCATAGTGACTGATTTGATGCTTGTGGTAAGATTAGAACTCATAGCCTCCCAGCTTCCAGTCTGGTGCCTTAATCACAACATCAAACTGGCTTTTGAGAGATCACTTGAGACTATTATTGTACACAGATGTAAGTGCAATACAATCACTGACTGAGCATGCTTCAAATTCAAAACTGTTAGGTAAGTTCCACGTTGGGAGAACGAGTGCGTTCAGAGAAGCATTGTGAGAGTAGTGTTGGAGAACACACAAACCAGCATACAGAGAGACAAAATTTTAAATAGGCTTTTATTTTCGTTAACATAGTCCATAATCATACAAACAGTCCGATACACAAAGTTTGCTAGCAGTTGCAAAACTTACAATAGCCCACGCTGATCACTATATGGCACTTCTAACAACCAGCTTCAAAAACACTCAGATCAGATCAGCATCTCACAGTGATTCTGGCTCCATCTTATGGCCGATTGAGGAAACAGCAGTCAATCACATTTACAGCATATTTAAAGAAAACAGGTACACCATTGTTACATGATTTATATATTGCCAACCCAACCATTAGATTATATTCCTAACATTCTCCCCTTTGGGTAGGACAATATATAAATCTTACAATCTCAAGCTGTATTCCTTGCAACAACGTTTATGCTTTATATTACCTTGGGCCTTAGTAAAATNGTGTGTACTCTATCACTAGTCCTGAAAATTTATGATGGCACTCGTTCTATAGTAAGGCAAATGTCACATTCTGTTGGGGAATATTTACATTGTAATGAACATTATTGTAAAAATGCCTTAATTTTTGATAGACTTGTTCAAGCAAAGCAAAGAATAATAGTTTTTTAAATCTGTCACACTAACTTTGAACAAATGACTTTCCAGAAATTAAGGCTTCTTTTAAACCCACATCTTCTTTTAGCTAAACTTTACATGGACTTGTAGCTAAAAATTGTATTCTGTAAGATTTACATACTTAGTTTCCATGGTAAGAGCTTCATTAGAATTCATTTCTCCATCTCTCTTTTTGCCTTTTTTTCCCTAAATGCAGCAAATGCATAAAAAATTCTCTTTGTGAATTTCTAGTCAGTATTTATTATTCCTGAAATTGCTAATCCAATCTAGTGCTGGATTAATGATGGAACATTCTCTTAAAACATAAGCGTGTAAATTAAAGCAAACAGATGTTCAGATGTTCCATCTGTGCATCCTGCAACCCCCAAAAGGAGTAGAAATACTTACTGGCCATCTGGTAAGATGGCCTGTTCTCCATTTGGCAGTTTGTCTCAGTTGCCTTTAATTTGGGGTTATGCTGGAAATCTACTGAATAATAAGTGCCATTTTACAGGAGTGACTCTAATTATAGTACAGCATGCTGCCCTACCTAGCATTAAATATGTGCTTGTTTGTACCTGATGATTGTTTAATGTTTTCTCAAATGTTTATTTATTATGTTTGCTTTGAAGCATTAAAGGTTTAATCCATTGAAGATACATTGCAATGCCAATAGAATCCTGGAGCATATAACACTGATTTTCATTTAATAATTTACGTCTTCTGTCCGATAGGGCATCACCACCACCTAAGGATGATCTAATAATATATAAGGGAAGGTATGAATTGTGGACAGAGGTGGTTTGAGCTTCACAATTAGGAAGAGTATGTAAGCAGGCTCGTTGAAACTGAACGTGGTTGTGAGTAGAAGGAAATTTAATTTAGAACATTAGGTCCTCTCTTTGCTAATCAAATTCATACATGCTCTGATGGTGTTTGTTTGTTTATTTATTTAATGCATTTTTATTTGAAACTCCTTTTGAAGAACTGCTTCAGATCCAGCGCAAGCACATTACCTCTCTGCTACTGCTTAAAACATATTGTCTTTCTGTAAAAAAGGGATGCATCTCTTTATGAGCCATGGTGGTGCACGGGTTAGAATGCAGTACTGCTTACTGCCAGGAGTTTGATTCTCACCAGCTCAAAGTTGACTCAGCCTTCCATCCTTCTAAAATTGGTAAAATGAGGACCCTGATTGTTGGGTGAAATATGCTGACTATATAATCTGTTTAGAGAAGGCTGTCAAAGCACTGTGAAGTGGTATATAAGTCTAGCTGCTATTGCTATCCCCAGGTTTATGGAGAAATCGAAAAAAAGATGGGTTGCTGTAACAAATGGCAGAGAGGTGCTGTGTTAATAAGTTTAATATGTTTTAAGTTTTAAAATATTTATTTTTAAAGCAGAAAAAAGATATTTCTCTGTAGGGGGGACACCAAAACAAATTACAGGTAGTCCTCAATTTACAACCATTCATTTAATGACCTTTTGAAGCTACAACAGCACTGGGGAAAAAAAGACTTATGACCGTTATTTTAAAACTTACTAATGTTACAGCAGCTCCTTGGTCACATGATCAAAAATTGGGCACTTGGCAACTGGCATGTACTTATGCCGGTTGCACTGTCCCAGGATCACATGATCACAATTTGTAACCTTCCCAGCTGGTTTCTAACAACCAAGTCAATGGGGAATCCAGTTTGCTTAATGACCGC